CGCGCTTGGTCCGCGAGGCTGCCCCGTTTGGGCGCAGGAGGGGGGTTTTTGGGGCAGCTCTGAGCAGGGCAAATCCCCGGTGCCCCTAGTAGCCCGAGGGGGGCAAGCTGCTGCTTCCCACCGGGAGGCCTCAAGCAGGCTGGTAAACAGCTGCGTTGGGATGTAGAGACGGGGCAAAAGGATGGGAAAGAAGCTAAACACTGATAAATACTGGTAAATAAATACTGCTGCCAGTGCCGGGCCTTTGCGACGTGCAGAGGAAGTGCCTGGATGCGTGTGGGAGCCAAAGAGTTGCTGCTGTTCCTGGGGCAATCTCCTTTCTCTCCAGAAATAATATAATGTTTTTCAGCCAGTTACAAAACAACCAAACAATATTTCAGTCTCTGCGTGGGGCCATGAATAGCTCCTAATTAAATAAAACTGCAAGCTCCAAAGAGGAGATTAAATTTGAACTTGGAGGTCACTCAGATGAGTGATTTAGTCACTTGCTTTGGCTGATTTTTTCAGAAGTTCCAAGTCTGCAGCACATCAGGGGAGGCTGTAATACATGATTTTTACACACTCAGATCTGACTTAACTGACTTCACTGTGTGTTTTTTGTAAGCTCTAAATAAAAACGTGATCCTTAGCATCCAGGCTTTCCTTAATGTTTCCTTTCCTTGGAAGTCATAACATAAATAATACTTTAAATGAAATTAAAACATGGAATAAAACAATGTTGAAGAAGTTTTTGCAGTTTAAATCTAACAGTGTTTTACCAGGGACCTCAAAGACCTGTCTCATGTTAGTGTTTAGCTGTTTCTTTGGCCTGGCAGCATGATTTAGCTCAGATAGAACAATTTTTCCTGCAGCAGCCTGCTCACGGGTGTGCTTAGTAACGTGATTTGCACAGAGAACAAGTGGGAGCTGGAGAAGCGACCCACCAGGATGGGTGATAAAGCTCCCTGTGCTGCTTCTGCCCGTCTATGTGCAGTCACCCATGGCATGGGCGCTTCCAAAGGAGCTCTGTTCAAGGTGAAAACTGCCCCCACTGAATACTGGCCTAATTCATTATGAAAAACAGTGTGAAATATATTCTCTGGTTGCTTATGAGCAGTCTTATGCTGGACTAATGCTGTTGCTGAACTTAATCAGATCCTTGCTTTAGGAAAAGCCAGCAAAAGCACTACATTTAAGGGACTGCAACATTTTATGGATACCTATTCACATACAAATACATGCCATGTTACTGGCAATGGATCACTGATTTCACTTTGGCTCACCTTTCCCACAAACCATTAGTTTGCATTGGGCATTATCACAATCTTTTTATTTATTTATGTACTATGACTTAAGGAAATCTAATAAGAACACGATAAAATAAGCCTGCAGTTCAGCCTGTTTTGTCTTTATTAAATAGTCAATAACAACTTTACAAACGTTTTATAAGGTTACAGAATGGTGTTAGTTGACTTTAGCTGATTTCTGTAAACATTGTTTACTCAAGATACGATAAAATGTTGTATGAATGCTAGCCTGAATTTCTCATGGGCAGTACCCAGATGTAAGATGAAATGAATTATTCTGTCATATACTCATCAGTGAATTCTAGAAATATAAGTGAGCAGCGATAGCTAATGAGCCACTAACTCACATAAAGCTTCTGTAATGCTGCAGTGACTGGCATGTGCTACACGGTCTGAAGTTTTCACTGAAGTTCCGTTGCAAAATATGTAGAAGACTTACAGCATTTACATACGCATGTAGTATGGAAATGCTCTGTCTGGAAAAGTATGGAAAAGGTCTGTCTCTTAGAAAATTAAATAACAGTAAGACAGGATCATGCTGAGCCACATCTTATTAAATCAATCAATGCAAACTGATTTCCCTGTCATATTGCTGAGATGAAATCACATTTGTAGCACTGCTTGCACACAAGCAGCTTCTCCGTGGACCAGAGAAGGAACTATGCAAAGAGCTCCTAAATGGAAGAGATAAAGCAGTGATAATCCAAGAGAACTGATCCGAGTGAATCACTCCAGTGATTAGCCTTGAACTCTGTATGCTTGTCACGATGCCTTTGAATAGGAATCCATTTCTTTATTTTACAGTCAGAAACAGGTCTGAGGTAATTAGCCTGGATGTTTCTGGAATATGATAATCCTAATAAAAAAGCGCCAGTACTACCCATAGAAGTGTCATGTGAATCTTCAGTAATTAGATATTATGAAAGGATGGCATAATTCCTTGGCAAAAGGAAGACAAAAGACAAAAAGGGAAGTAACTCTATATTTTGAAAACAGAAATATCTAAGTGATGTTAAATAACCTGTACTAAGAGTTGTCTTAAAACCATCTTTTTTGCCCCACCTTTCCAATTAAGAAAACAGCTGTCATTTCAAAATAATAGCCTTAGTTGTTTACTCTCTTACACTCATTTTAGCAGTATAATTTAATTGACTGAGGAATTACATCAGCATAAAATTAGTGCAGTAAAAGGCCTAGCATGCCTTATGAGCAGCTGGGAGGCTAAGGATCAGCTCAGTCCAGCTTTTTTTTTTTTTTTTCCCTTTTTGTTCTCTCCAGACAGCAGGTAAGCCTCAAGCACTAAGCATTTCTGTTAGAAAAGCAGATAGGTTCAAGGAGGTTTGTGAAGATTGGGGATGAAGAATCTTCTTTGCAGGTCTACATGTTAAAGACCACTAGCACCCCAGGGTTGGGATAGGCTGTTCTTCCCTGCACAGGCCAAAGCACATAGGGTGATGTGAGTATCTTCCCTGCTTTCTTAACATCTCTGTTTCTTCCATTGCCCTTGCGGCAGACAGGTTTTGGATGGCAGCAGGCAGGCAATATTCACTATCGTGGTGTAGGTGTCCCTGCTTGAGCAGGGGGCTTGGAGCAGATCATCTCTAGAGGCCCCTTCCCACCTCAGCCATTCTGGGAGTCTGATTCTGCGATCTTTGCTTTATATAAAACAGCAACAGTGCTCACTTTTCTCTCTCCCTCTCCAGCTGTCTTTTCTAACCACAGGCATACACTGTGAAAACAGAAGGGTTTTAAAAGCAGGCACAGATATCAGCAAAAGCCACACAGGCTATAAATACCTGAGGCAGTGGACTTCTAGCACAGCAGCTGTTCAGAGATTACTCCTCAGGTGTATGCCAAAGGGAGCCAATTCCTTTCACTTCCTTGACTGTTCTGTGCTGTTCTTTTCACAGCTTTCCTA